CTGGAACTTCCTCCAGGGTAGGGAACCTTCAACCTTGAGGCCATATGTGGCCCTCTAGGTCCTCAAGTGCAGCCCTTTGACTGAATCCAAACTTCACAGAACAAATCCCCTTAATAAAAGGATTTGTTCTGTAAACTTGGACTCAGTCAAAAGGCAGCCCCCAAGGACCTAGAAGGCCATGTGTGATCTCAAGGCCAAGGTTCCCCACCCCTGTCCTAGCCTAATTGGAAAATCACAGAATTTTAGAGTTGGAAGGGATGTAGGAGGCCATTGAGACCAATCCGTACATAAAAGAACAATCCCACCTCAACACACTTAAGTAGTCACTAAAACTTCATTTAAAGACCTCAGGGAACCCCCAGGTCCTCCTGGTACAACCCACTCCAGTTCTGAATAGCTTCAATCATCTGGAAGTTTGTTTTGTTTTCCTCTCATCTCCCAGGTTAAACTGACTTACCTGAAACATTCACTTATTGCTCATAGTTTTACCGCTGGATCCCAGCAAATGCTTTTCCCATCTTACAGCCCTTTCAATGCTTGAAGCAGCCATCATATCCCACCTGAGTCTTCTCTTCTCCAGACTAATCATTCCCATTCTTTCACCTGGTCTGAATGATGGCAGGCATGAACTCAAGGCCCTTCCTCACCCTGGTTGCTCTCCTCTGGATGCACTCTGGATTATCAATGCCCTTCCTAAATGGTTGTACAAAATTTAACACAATATCCCAGATAGGAACTGATCTGGGAAGACTCCAGAGGAACTATCCCCTAGGTTTATCATACTCAATGCTCTATCTCTTAATGGAGCCCAATATCACCGTCATTTGGGGATGGGAAACAAGTCAAGCAAAAAGGTTAACAGCTTAGCCTGGACACAGACTCCATTGAGGCAGCAGAGCTCCTATGCCAAGGGCCATGTGATTGGCATAGACAATAGGTTTTGTAGGGGTTGAGAGTAAGCAGAGATGAATGTGGCCACCAATGGTCAAGAAAGGAGTGTAACCAAGGAAAGGTTGTGATAGGCAGAAGGAATGGAGAACAGCATTCATGGAGGATCGGGGACAGGAATGGTGTCTACAAAGAGACACGGAGTAAGGAATTGTACAAGGGAACAATTAAAGAGACTTGCCCAGCTAAAGCATGGGGATTATTTTAAGTAGGATAAAAAGATGAAAGAATTTGGTGGCACAGCACTTTCTAGTTTTCAAATAATTTTCATAACAATCATAGAATATCCCAATTTAAAGGGATTTTGGAGATCATCTAGCCCAACATACATCTGAACAAGAATTTTCTCTATTAAAGGCGGGTGGTGGCACAAATATGGCCTCAGATACTAGCCATATGACCCTGTACAAGTCACTTAATCTCTGTTTGTCTCAGTTTCCTCAACTGTAAAATGAGGATAATAATAGTACCTGCTTATTTCTTTCCTTTCCACCTACTACATACATCATCTGCTTTGTTCTTCATAACACCACTGTTTGAAAGGAAAGAAAAAGAATATCATCTTTGTGGCCCAGAGATATGAAATAATTTGTCCAAGGTCACACAGCTAGTACATATTGGAAACAGGACAAAAACTCATGCCTCTTATTAACAAACACCATGCTCTTTCTGCCACAATTGATTCAATTCAATAAGCTATTAATGGCTTACTCAATACCAATATCCATTCTAGATATAGAGGAAACAAAGGAAAAATTAAGTAGGCCCTACCCTCAAGGAGCTCACTGGTCTCCCAGCAGTTTGTTACAGAAGACACCTCATCCCCCAACTCCGGACATTTTGACTGGCTGTCTGCCATATATCTGGCTTTCTCTCTCTCTCTCTCTCTGTATCTCCTCTTTGTGTGTGTATATGTCTGTCTCTGTGTGTCTATCTGTATGTCTCTGTCTTTGTCTCTATCAGTCTCCATGTCTCTCTGTCTCTGTATCTATCTCTCTGACTCTGTCTTTCTCTGTCTCTGTCTCTCTCTTTCCTCTCTGTGTCTCTGTCTCTCTGTGTCTGTACCTGTGTCTGTCTGTCTGTCTCTCTCTCTCCCCCTCTCTCCTTCTCTCTCCCTCTCTCTCTCTCTGTCTCTCTGTCTCTCTGTCTCTCTCTGTCTCTCTTCTCTCTGTCTCTCTTCTCTCTGTCTCTCTCTGTCTCTCTGTCTCTCTCTGTCTCTCTCTCTGTCTCTGTCTCTCTTCCCTCATCTCCACCTCCTGGCTTCCTTCAAGGTCTAATTCAAACCCTGCCTTCTACAGGAAGCCTTTCTTGTTTCCCCCTTAATTCTAGTGCCTTCTCTCTGTTAATCATCTACAATTTATTCTGTCTACATCTCGTTGTAGAGAGCTGTTTCCATACTGTCTCCTCCATTACAGTGTGAGTTTCTTGAGGGCAGGGATTAGTTTTGTCTTTCTTTGTATCCTCATCACTTAGCACAGTACCTGGCCCACAGCAGGGGCTTAATAAATACTTGTTGACTTGCCACTGTACTAGAGGGATGTAATATGTACACAAGTAAGAAAATACCAAGTATGTGCATAATAACACAAAGTAATACAAGTAGAGAAAGACAACTACCACCTGAGGGTCTCAAGAAAGGCCTCCAGTAGGAAGCAGCATATGAGCCAGGCTTTGAGGAAAGGTAGTACATTCCAGGCCCAATACAAAGGCATGGAAGTGGGAGGTAAAAAACTACACTGTTCCCCTCTTTAGGGATCTTCAGGATTCAGGAAATCAGCATCATCTGTAAGATGTCTGCATTTCCACCTTGGGTTGCTACTACCTTAAGGCAGGTTTATTCCCATGCTACAAGATTTGTTGTGTGACCCTGGGCAAGTCACTTAACCCTGTGTGCCTCAGTTCCTCATCTGTCAAAAAAAAAAAAGAGCTGGAGAAGAAAATGGAAAATGGAAAATCACTGCAGTATCTCTGCCAAGAAAACACCAAAATGGGGTCACAAAGAGTAGGGCATGACTGAAACCCCAAATACCTGAACAACAAAAACAGAATTTGTTAGAATGTAAGCTCTTAGAGGGCAGAGGCTATTTTTCCTCTGTATCTCCCATGCCTACAACAGTTCTTGGCCAACAGTAGATGCTTAATAAAAGCTTGTTGAGTGACTGAGTGGTTGATTTAGTGCTTTGGAGTTGATATTTTACACAACTTAAGTAAAGGCTAACAAATTATGTGCCTGTTCGAAGCTCAATTGCCCTTTGTGAAGTAGGGTCTTTGCTAGCTATTAAATTTTGTTGCTATTGATTTTAACTTAGTATTAATGTGAAACATTTGACATAAAGATTTCCTGTATATGAGTCCCAGCTCTGATATTTACTAGCTGTGTGACCTTGGGTAAGTCACTTCCCCTTTCTAAGTCTCTTTTCCTCATCTATAAAATATGGATAAAAAACAATCAATAATAACTACTTATCCTTGCTTCTTCACAAGACTTCTCCAAGGAAAGTAGATCATTAACTTTTTCTTCCCTCCAGCCCCTCCCCACCCACTGAGAAGACAAGCAATATGTTGCCCATATACATGTGAAGTCATGCAAAATATAGTTTGAGGAAAGTTCTTCATAAATCATAAGGCCGTGCAGAAATGGGGTCTATGGTGTTATTGCCCCTGGGAAGGCCATCAGTCTGAAACCTTCTTGCTCTGAGGTTGTATAGACCTTGGGTCTACTGTCAGGGCTAATTGACACTAGCCACTGTTGGCTAATTACCATAGGTTGCGTAGACCTCAGGATGACAAGTCTCTGAGTCCCTGGACCCTGTCTCTATAGCACTACCTAACAAACTGTTACATTCTGCTTTCTTGCAGCTGAAGAGACTCTTGCATGTGACAATCCAGGGCTGCCTGAAAATGGCTACCAGATATTATACAAGCGGCTCTACCTGCCAGGTGAATCCCTCACATTCATGTGCTATGAAGGTTTCGAGCTGATGGGAGAAGTGACTATCAAATGCATTTTGGGTCAGCCTTCCCACTGGAGTGGACCACTACCTGTCTGTAAAGGTAAAGAACCATCTCTTCATTCATTATGGCCACACAGAATGGACACTCAGACATGAAAAAGACACATACTTCCCAGCTTCCTCAGACAATTCTGGTTATGATTGTTATCTTAGAATGTCAAGGCTGGGAAGGAACCTTGATGAATGAATGAATGAATGAATGAATGAATGAAAAACATTTATTAACCCTTACTACGTACCAAGAACAATATTAACCTGCTAATCACATGCAGTAGTAACTTAATAATGCTTATTGACTGCCTGAGTAACTAATTACTGAGTTATAAATACAAAAGTAAGATTATCTCTACCTCCAAGATCTTCTATTAGGGGAAGACAACATATATAAGGGCGTATGGCCAGAGAGGAGTTTTGGTCTGATGAGTCAAAAAGGTGGTGAATATTACAATAAAGGAGTCCACTACCACTCTTTTCCAGACACTATGATAACTGGTTTAGTGATAGTTAATTTAATTACAATTCTGAGAGAAGAGGTCAAAAGGAGAGTGTTGAGGGTGGGAAGGAATAATGTGAAGCATCAGGGTGAAAAATGTGAGCAGTAGAACACACAACACATACTAGGGCAGCAGAGTGATACCTTAGCTTAGAACAGAGAACAGAGAATTTTTGAAGCCAGATGAAGCCTTGGAACATAGAATGTCATTTAGAAGTTAGTGATCTCAGAAACCATCTAGTGAAATCCTCATTTTACAGAGGATGGAAATTAAAGCCCAGAAAGTGGAAATGATTTCCCTGAGGTTACACAGTGAATCAGCAGCAGAGCTGGAGCTTAAATTCAGGTGTCCTGACTCCAGACCCGATACTCTTTCGCCATGCGATGCCACCTCTCCATGAAAGTACTCGGAACTTGACTCCAAAAAGGCAGGGAACACTTTGTTGTAATTCATAGGGTCTTAGATATAGAGCAGGAAGGGAACCCAGGGGCCCTCTAGTCCAATCCCCTCATTTTGTAGATGAAGAAACTGAGGCCCATGGAGATTAAGGGACATGCCCAAGGGTCATTCAGGTAGCAGGCTCCAGCAGCAGGATTTAAAATTGGATCCTCTTGACTCCAAAGCTAGAAGAATCTTTTTAGTATACCACCCAATCTCCCTTTAAGTAAAAACACACAAATATAAAAAGGGTGCATATGGATGGAGTACTCAGTTATCTTTGGGACAAAATTGAAGAGGTGGTGGACAAGTCCCTCTCCAGTCTCTATCCCTGAAAGTATTTACTCATGCTGCTTATTGATTCTTGGAATTATGCTATTAGAAACTCATTCATTTGGCTGCAGAAGGCAAGTATCTCCAGGAAATATAACAAAGACATGCTTATCAACTCATTTATGACTTGGTGTGAACGATTTTTTAAAATCTCCTTACCTGAATACTGTCTTTCATAGAGGCAGAAGGTGAGGGTAAAGAATACATAAAAGGTAGGCTAAGGAACTTTGCAGACTTTCCAGTTTTGTTGAAGGAGGGCCAGCCCTAATGTGCGTGTTTCTCCTCAACGCTTTGAAGATTCTGATTCTGGGGTAAAAACAGTTGAGTTTCAAAAACAAAAGTAACCTGTATCTTCTATACTGTTATCCTATGAGCACCTTTGTTTCCAATGAGTATCTAAGTCATGACTCTTCTTCTTACAAAGTATCCATATATAATTTTATTTATTTATATATAAAAACTGCTATATACTGCAACAAAGTAACCTATGATTCCTACACTATTACAACACATCCTATAAGGGGCTTCATTTATAAGAAACATCAGTCTCTAACCCTTGCTATTATAAAGTATCTTCTAATTTCTATGTTGTTACATTGATACATAGTACTTTACTGATACAAAGTATCCCCCTATGTCATTACAAAGATGGTTCTAACACATATATTTTTACAAAGTATTCTATAATTTCTCAATGATTACAGAGCTTCCCCACCTTATTCAAACCTAATCTATGACTCAGTCTTTTTAGAAAATTTCCTATCATTCACAGAGTTATAACTACCCTAGAGTCTTAAGACGAATCCTATAACTCCTTTACTTAGAGGATAAATAGTTAAGTTTTAATATTAAATTCACCATAAGAGGAAGAAAATTAATAGACTCTGGATATATGGATGCTACAAGAGAGAATATTGATTCTGACTTTTTCATAAACTCATGGGTCTTGAACTGTTAGAGCTGAAAGGGACTTTTTGAGTCATCCAGTGCAGTGAAAAGGGAATTGACCAGCCCAAGGTTACTTAAATAGCCAAGCTGGCCCAGCCTTGAATTCGAGTCTTCTTGCCACAACCTGTGCTCTCTCCAGTCCATCCAGCTTCAAAGAGAGTCAGAGTCCAGCTTAGTATCACATCATGCCATGAATATTCTTTGGTCTCTGACCACTAACCCACAGGTCTCCAGAGGATGTCATCTGATCTCCTAGGTAGGTCTTCTTGCAGTTTTTGAGTCCTGATAAACACTCAGTTCCATCACAATGATTTTGGAAATGGACTGTTTAAGTCTTTGTCCACTTCCTGGCAATTTCTGTGAACTGAGGAGAAGGGATTGGTTACTGTATTACAGACATACAAAAAAAAATGTGTGCCCTCACTTTATGTCTCTTGGTTCTCTGAAAATGGGTGAATAAAAATAGCTTTCCAATGAATGAGCTAAAAATTTAAAAAAATAGGAGAGAAGGTTAAATCAGAAAAAGCCAATCTACATGGATTCTGCAAAAGAGAAACACTTACCAGGGTTTACAGGGCACTTCCGCATGCCACTGCACAACACTGCCTTCTAATACCTTAAGACAGTGGACAATGAGTGACTTTGGCCCCTCTCATGACTAGCTCATCTCCCTAGTACAAGACAGTCACACTCAGCTTCAATTCTCTTCAAACAACATGCATTAAACATCTGCTGTGTGTAGGGCTCTTTCCTTAATTCTGGGGGGACAGAGACAGGCAGAGGAAAAGATGAATAGGGTATCTGTACCCTGAGCCTGAGCCTTGAGATGACCTCTACTGGCCTGAATATAAGCCACCCTCCAAAGTCAGTTAACCTCCCTCAGCCTCAAGCAACTTCCTAGGATTTGTCGTAGATGATTTTGGCCACACTCCCTCTGCTGACAAAATCCCCAATAATTTGCATTTGGTATTTATGTACATGCCATGCTCTGTGCTAGGCCCAAAAATAAAAATCTGCCTTCCCTCAAAGAGCTTGCATCCTGCTTGGGGGGAGGGTGGAAGTAGGAGCTTCACCATGGAAACTTATCCTTAAATACAAAGTAATTTGAGGAGGGAGAGAACACTGACAATTAAAGGGAATCAGAACAAGCTTCCTGGAGGAGGTGGCACCTTAGTAAGTGTTCACAAAAGACAATCAATCTGTAGGCATTTATTAAGCACCTACTACATTCCAGTCACTGTGAAAAGTTCTGAGAATACAAAGACGAAAAGCAAAAACAGTCCCTTACCCCAAGGAGCTTACATTCCAATGAGAGTGATGACTTGTATGCACAAATATGCTAAGTATGCACAAAATACATGCAAAGTCCACGCAGGGTAATTTTGAGGGAGGAGATACCAGCAGAGATGAGAAGGGAGGACATTCCAGGTATCGGGCTATGGCTTGTGCAAATACATCACGATGAGGGATAGAAGGTGGAATTCAGAGAAAGCCTAGCAGTACAATTTGGCTGGAAAGGGAATAATATGAAATAAGGTCACGGTGGAAGATTGGGGCCAACCTGCAAAAGCCTTAAATTCTAGGCTAAGAAGTGTGTACTGCATCCTAGAGGCAATAGGTAGACCTGAAGATTTTTGAGTAGGACAAAGACATGGTCAGACCTGCATCTTAGGAAGATTGTTTTGGTGGCTTTGGGGAATTTCCTTTAATTGAAGGATGGAGGAAGAAAATTATTCCCTTTAATGGAAAGATTTCACGTCTTTGCTGCCATGGGGCACATTGTATTGGGATCAGATACCTACAGGAATGCAACAGCCAAATTAGCTGGTTCTATGAAGGTGCCTGATAGGAAGGGCTCTGACTGCCATTTTCTTTTCATTTTTCACTGGACTAGGATGAATACATTTTCCAAGTCCCAATATTTTCCACTTTCTCTTTCAGTTAATCAAGACAGCTTTGAGCACGCTTTAGAAGGTGAGTTGCCCAATGAAAATCCCACCCACAAAACATAAGAACGAGAGAGATGGGGCAGGTCACTAAGCGTCTTTATCAAGCTACTGCAAAACCCATTTATATCTCCACCAATAACTGCATGGGCAGTGCCATTGTGAAAAATAGTTGGATATTCATTTCAGTGCCTAAATATGCCAGGATAGAGATTTGGCACCAATTCCCTGCACAGAAAGATATAAAAGAAAGTGACATTTCATATGTCGGAGAAGCAGTTTATTCAAATAACCCAGTTGTAAGATTTTTCAACCAATTAAGCAATTTGCCTCATCACTTCAGGGGCTGCATTAAGCTTTCTGATGATGAGTAGCACACCTGGAAATGTGTGGGGACTGGGTTAAGTCAAGTCCATCTGATATAATTGAGAGCATTTTTATATGGGCTCAGGGGACAGGGCCAGCTATGGAGGAGAAGGAATAGCAGCAGCAAGGGGGAGGCAGGGGCTTGCTCCATTTGAGAAATTGGAGGGGGCTCCTCTCTCAGGAAGGCCATGTGGTGAAGGTGGAAGGGTCCTAAATTGGGTATATTGAATGTAGAGTGATAGAACCTTCATCCAATCCAGGGACTTACTGTGCGTTCCTGGTCAAGCACTCCCCTGCCTAAGGCTCAGTTTCCTTGTCTGCAAAGGGCTGAATTAGATGACCTCAAAGGTCCCTTCCTGATCTGGCTCTGTGGTCCAATGAGTGTTTTCCTGCTAGAACTCTTCTTCTTGTGTCTTTTTTTTGGGGGGTGGGGCAAGCAGTGGGAACTTCTGACATGCCTTAGCCACTTGGTAACACTGAAAATCACAAAGGCGTGTTAGGCATTTATCAGGAATACTTGATAGAATTGTACTTTCTGAATGGCTCTTTACAAGTGATCTCTCTGCCCAGTTCCTGTTCTTAGCTCTGCAGAAATAATGCCATCCTCCATGCCCTGGAGTCACTCAAGGGACAAGGTCTGCTTTTGCCAGCTCTGGGAAGTGGCCCAGAAAGGTGACCTCCAAAGTCTCCAACCTCCGGAGATACAAAAGACCAAAACCTCACACATTCAGCCCGCAAATCACCCTGCCCAGAGCCATAACTAAGATAAGGCTATCAGAGCTTTGTCCCAAGGCAAGAGACAGAGCATACAAACCCTTGCTAGCCTTTTGCAGCATAAAACAGCAGAAGTTAATACCTAGTAAGCAGGAAGAGTTAAACAAGGCGACTGGAGTGAGATCTTTTGCCTCCTCTTCACACTTCTTTCCCCTCCGCCCCAGCGTAACATCTTTGTGCTAGAGTCCCAGAATGTCTCTCCCTAGTCCTGCCATGGAATAGCATTCTCCCCTCAAATGAGATGATACTTTGGGGCAGCTAGGTGATGCAGTGGATAGAGCACTGGCCCTGGATTCAGGAGGACCTAAGTTCAAACCTGACCTCAGACACATAACACTTACTAGCTGAGTGACCCTGGGCAAGTCACTTAACCCCATTACCTAGCCAAAAAAAAAATTAAAAAAAGAGAAGATACTTTATGCTACCTGGACTGACTTGTGGTACCTTTTCTGAGTCCAGAACTCTCAACTGACACCAATTCTCCATTCCCTTCCCCCTTCACTAAGGCAAAACCCCTTCCCTTCCACTCACGTCAAGGAGGCAGCCTGGTGCAGTGAAAAAGACATTTCATTTTGAGTCAGAGAACTGTGGTTCAAATGTCTAAATACCATCCCCTGTTTTTGCTTTTGAGTCATTCAGTCATGTCTGACCCTTCATGATCCCACGGTCTTGTCCACAGGGTTTTCTAGGCAAAGATGCTGGGGTGCTTTGCCATTTCTTTTCCCAGTGTATTCCCATTTTACAGATGAGGAACTGAGGCAAATAGGGGTTAAGTGACTTGACAGAATCACACAGCTAGTGTCTGAAGCTGGATTTGAACTTAGATTTTCCTCATTCCAGGTCTGGTGCTCAATTCACTGCACCACCTAGCTACCCCCAAACACCATCCCTACTACTTGCTGACTCTGTGACCTTGAGCAAATCATTCCATCTTTCTGGATCTCAGTTTCTTCACCTGTAAAAATGATGAGGCTGGACTAGATGGCTTCCAACATTCTTTCCAGGTCTAGAATTATTGTCCTATGACCCTTTCTAATTTCAGAGTTGGCATAGAATCGTGGCAGTCCATGGCACCTTAAAAATCACTGCATCCCACCCAATGGTAGGAAACTGAGGTCACTTAATAAAACATGATTTGCCCAAGGTTGCACCGAAAGTTAGGGACAAAACCAATACTACAAGTTACAGTTCTCACTGCCTAGTCCTGTGCTTTTTATGCTGTCGAGCTAGTTCTGATATGGTTATGATTTTTTTTACTCACATTCCCTCCTCTGGACCCTGCCTCATCTTCCTCCTTGAGAGGAATAAGAATACAGCCAGTGCTCCTGATAGGACTTTCTGGGGCCATGTCTCCTCCCTCTTCCAAGTGATGGCCCTTTGAACAGGTACCATGACCCATCTGAGTCTTCTTTTCTCCAGGAAAACTCCTCCCAACTCCTTGTTTTAATCATGTTTGCAGGGCAGGAATATCAAGGAGTCAAACGTGAGTCCCCATAAGGATGGAAAATGCTTTTATGTAGGTCCAAGGAGCATAGAATTAGCATTGGAAGGGACCTTAGCAGCAGTGTAAGCCACAAAGTGAGAGGGGCACGTAGGTTACAGGATGTTCAGAGGAAGGTAATCAGGATGGTGAGATGTACTGAGCACATGTCACATGAGAATCAGTGGAAGGAATTGCATGTCCAGAGGAAGAGAAGACAGAGTGGGGAAGGTGAAGAGCATAAGGAGCTCTCATGTCGAAGAGGAACCAGGAGCCAATGGTAGTCTATGGAAGTTGCAAAGAGGCAAATTTAGGCATAAGGTCAGGAAGATCTTCCTAACAATTAGCACTGTCCAAAAGCAGGTTGGCCCACCTCAAGAGTAATGGGTTCCTCTCTTTGTAAGTCTTTTATGAGGTGTGTTGCAGTGGGGTTTCCTTTCGGGTATATGAGGTAGTAGATGGCCACTGGGCTTTCTTCCAATTCTGTTATTCTGTGAACCCCTTCATTTTATATGAGGAAACTGAGGCCCGTAGAGGTCAAATGATTTTTCTAGGATCATGTAAGGTATAAGTGACTGGATTCAAATCCAGGTCTTCTGACTCTAAATCAATGGGTAGCCATCATTTGAAGTGTCTTCTATATGCCAAGCACTGCTTTAGACATTAGGTACAAAAAAAAGACAAAAATAAACTAGTCCTTGGCCTCACAAAGTCAAGGGCAAAAAGTAACTACCAAGGAGGAAGGGAAGGGAAAGGAAGGGAAGGGAGGGAAAAACAAGGTCTCGTGTAGCAAATGGCAGTTGAGCTTTGAAGGAAACTAGAGAGTCCAGGAAGCAGAAGTAAGGAATTCCAGGCATTGGGGACAACTTCGGGAAAGGCACAGAGATGGGAGATAGAACATCATAGAAATATCATAGAAAAGCGATAAAACCACTTTGCCTGGACCAAAGAGTTCATGAAGGGATATCACATATAATAAGGTCAGATGGATAGACTAGAGAAAATTATGAAAGGCTTAAAATGCCAGATAGAAGAGATTCTATTTTATCTTAGAGGTTAATAGGGAGCCATTGAAATATATTGAGAAGGGGAGTGAGGGTCAGATTTGCCACAATTCCACAATGCTTCCCTGTGAAACCTCTGAGAAATGAGCTCCTAACAAATGTTGCCTTTTTAGTAGCAGAAGCGGCAGCAGAGACCTCCCTGGAAGGGGGAAACATGGCATTGGCCATCTTCATCCCAGTGCTTATCATTTCCCTACTGCTGGGTGGGGCCTACATCTACATCACCAGGTAAGAGCCAGCCAGCCATGGCAGCAGATTGCATGAAGCCTTTAGCCAAATGCCTCCAATCACCTTCCAGATTTCAATTAAGCCACACAGGCCTGGGTAGAATGAGGCAGGGGTGGGTATATTCATTCCTATTATCTCTGGGTCCTGCTTCTTGTTATTACTGTTGACCAGTAAAATGATGCTGGTTAGGTTTCATGTTAGCTAAGGGAAGAACTACTAGAAGAGATCTGGAAGTGTTGGGGGGTGCTCGTTAAGATCTGTGAATTATTCAATCAATCAACAAGCATTTATTGAACTCTTTCTATGTGTTTGGCACAGTGCTGAGTGCTGGGGATAAAAATGCAAAAGGGAAAAAGTCTCTGTCTTCAAGGAGTTTACATTCTATTCGGGGTAACAACATCAATCAATCAAGAAGCTTTGATTTATTTTTTAGATTAATTATAATAATAATAGGTAGCATTTATATAGTGCTTTAGAATTTGCAAAGTGCTTTATAAATATTATCTCACTGTATCCTCACAACAATCCTGTGAGGGAGGTAGTATTATCCCCATTTTATAGATGAGGAAACTGAGGCAGCCAGAAGTTGAGTGATTTGCCCAGAGTTTCACAGCTAATAAGTGTCTGAGGCTGGATTTGAACTCAGGTCTTTCTGACTCCAAGCCCAGTGCTCTATCCACTGAGTCATCTTGTTGCCTCATTATCAAGCTTAACACTGAGACAAGAGGGCACCTCAGAGTGGTACTGGAGGGGATATAAAGGCACTCAGCAATTGTAAGAGTGAGGGGGACGTGTTTGCCGATAACATTGCCTTAATTCAGTCATCTGCTGCATAGTAGTCTCATCTTCAGTAGCTTTATTAAGCTCCCACTATGTGCCAAGCACTACACTGAGTTCTGGTAATACAAAAACAAGAACAAAATAATCCTTGTCCTGAAAAAGCTTGCAATCTAGCTGGGGCAGACAATATATACACAGACAGATGCAAAAAAAAAATTCACACAAATTCATCCCCAGATCCAGGATAATTTGGGGAGAAGATACTCAAAGCAGTCGGGATCAAGAAAGGCACCATGTAGAAGGTGGTGCTTTTAAGCTGAGGCTTGAAGGAAATGAGGGATTGCAAGGGCATGGCAGCAAGCCTGCATTCCTTCAGCGCTGTAACATGTTTCCTTGAGAAAGTAACTCTTTTTATCCCTTTCATGTTCTCCTCCAGGTGTCGATATTACTCCAACTTGCGCCTGCCTCTAATGTACTCTCACCCATACAGCCAGATCACAGTGGAGACGGAGTTTGACAACCCAATTTACGAAACGGGGGTGAGTTGATCTGTATTCTCATTCTGGCGCCTTCATTTTCTTGGTGCTGGAATGATGGGAAATTGAAACTGAAGGCTTAATTCCCTATAACTCCCTGGGCAGCTGTCAAAGGAAAGCAGTCACCAGGAGTCTCTGCATCCCCCACCAAAATCGGTTAATGAGATGACCATTTTGTTCTTTTGTATCTCCGTTGAAAAAGATGCTGGGGGGCAGCAAGGTGGTGCAGTGGATAGAGCACTGGCCCTGAAGTCAGGAGGACCTGAGTTCAAATCCGGCCTCAGACCAAACACTTGACACTTACTAGCTGTGTGACCCTGGGCAAGTCACTTAACCCTAATTGCCTAAAAATAAAAAAATACAAAAAAAAAAAAGATGCTGGGATGGATTAGGAGGAGATAAACACTTGGTCCCTTTTCATAAATACAGACTGACCACCTGGTAGGAAGGGTTGACCCCACAGGTTCTCCAGGAGATGAGATTTAAATAGGCTAGAACTTTGAGAGTGGTCAACTTGAGTCTAGAAGGTAAAGGAGGATAGAAGCCTCTCGGGGAATGGACTAGAAAACCTGAACTCAGGTCATTCAGGTTAAAGGGAGGAAGATGGGCCATGATCTGCTGGTGAAATCTCTCTGGATGATGGTACAAAGGAAAATGGTGCATTGGCAAGGTTGCTGTGATGTCCAGACTTAGGGCCACCAGGAGTGAGGCTTTGAAGGTTTGGGGGGAGGGGAGGTGTCTCTAGACAGCTAGAGATATTAAAAGCCAACTCAACCCTTCCAACTCAAATTCTGTGACTGTGATACTACTACCAGGTTACCTTTATTTAGTACTTTGCAGTATATAAAAAGTTTGCCTGCATTCACTCCTTTCATCTTGTAGCTTCTTAGCTCTGAAACAGGCAGTAGAGGTTATGATGTCCACATTACCATTAAAGAAACTGGTTCAGAGAAGTAAAGGAATCTGTCCCAAAAATGGACTGCCTCCGTTGGGCAGTGAGGAGTAGTGAGGACAGAGCCAATCTTGGAGTACCCAAGAGGGGAAATGATTGGCAGGCCCATGGTCATTATCCTTAACATTATGATGACAGATGAGGTAATCTCTAAGTACTCCCCCCCAGACAGCTCTAAATCCCATGATGTTATATTTCAAGGACTAAAAAAATGTTAGATGACCAAAAGACATCAATAAATACAATGAAGTATTTTGAACCCATTTCATACAAGGGCTGATTATAAAACCAGGCATGCTTAATCTGGAGAAAAGAAAAGTGGAGGAGGGGAAGGAAACTGGAGGTGTGTGTGTCTTTGGGGACTTGAAGGGCTGCCACATGGAAGATAGATGCAACTCGTTGTGCCTGGGAACAGAGGACAGGATAGGAATAATGAGGGGAAGGTGCCAAGAAGAAAATGGAGATTTGGTGTCAAGAAAAACTTCCTAACAAACAATTAGAGCTACCCTGAAGTGGAATGGGCTGCCTCTGGATGTGGTGGTAACTCGTCCATTGGAGTGAGAATTCTGGATAGGATTCTGGATCATTGTATAGAAGATCAGATGCTTAGAGACCTAAAGATGGAAGGGTCCACAGAGGTTGTGAGTTACCCAAGGTCACACAGATAGTAAGTAATGCAGGCAAGATTTGAACCTAGACCCCAGGATCATATATTGAAAACTAGAAGGGAATTCAGAGGAAACTGAGGTCCAGTGAGATTAAAGATAAGGATTCTGAGGTCCACAGAGGTCATGAGTCACCAAAGGTCACACAGATAGTAAGTGATGGACCCAAGATTTGAACCTAGACCCCAGGATTGTGGATTCAAAGTTAGAAGGAAACTCAGAGGAAACTGAGGTCCAGAGAAGATGATGCTGCTGCTGCTGCTGCTGCTGCTGTTTTTCAAGAATTTTTCAATTGTGTCCATCTCTTCATGACCCCATTTGGGGTTTTCTTGGCAAAGATACTGGAGTGGTTTGCCATTTCTTCAGCTCATTTTACAAATGAGGAAACTGAGGCCAACAGGGTGAAGTGACTTGCCCAGGGTCACAAAGCTAGTAAGAGTCTGAGGCCAGATTTGAGCTCAGGAAGATGAGTCTTATTGACTGTAGGCCCAGTGCCACCTAGCTGCTCATGGAGGGTTACAGATGAGGAAATTGAGATTAAGTGCAATTAAATGATGTGCCCAAAGTCACACAAGCAGTGTCAGAGACAGGATTGGAACCTAGGTCCTAGTATAATGGATTGAGAGCTAGAAGGGAATTCAGAGAAAACTGAGGTCCAGTGAAATTAAAGATGAGGATTCTGAGGTCCGCAAGGGTTGAGTGATTTGCCCATGGTTACACAGATAGTGGCCACTAGGTGGTGCCATAGTGCACAGAGTGCTGGGTCTGGAGTTGGCAAGACTCATCTTGAATTCAATTTGGGCCTCAGACACTAGCTGTGAGACCCCGGGCAAGTCACTTAACCCTGTTTGCCTCAGTTTCCTCATCTGCAAAATAAGCTGGAGAAGGAAATGGTAAAAACACTCCAGTATCTTTGTCAAAAAAAAAAAAACCCAATTGGGGTCACTAAGAGTCAAACAGGATTTAAAACGACTAAACACAAACAGCAGCAGTCAGAGGTGGAACATTGGAGAAAGGATTCTCATTCAAGTATGAGTTGTACTAGATGGCCTCTAAGCTCCCTTCCAACTCAAATTCTGTGACTGTGATACTACTACCAGGTTACCTTTATTTAGTACTTTGCAATATATAAAAAGTTTGCCTGCATTCACTCCTTTCATCTTGTAGCTTCTTAGCTCTGAAACAGGCAGTAGAGGTTATGATGTCCACATTACCATTAAAGAAACTGGTTCAGAGAAGTAAAGGAATCTGTCCCAAGGCATGCAGCCACTTCTAAAACTGAGCCCCCCAATCCAGTACCCATTTCCCCAGGCACCAAGTAAAACTTAAATTATAGAACAATTTTTCTTCTCTCTGTCATAGGAAACAAGAGAATATGAAGTTTCAATATAAAGACTGTTCTGCTCAAGACGTGACCTTCAAGATGTGAATGACAATAGGACTTCCTCAGTAACTTCATCCAGAGACCACGCAGCATTCGATTGAAACCCTGGCTCTTCCATTGTCTTTCCTTTAGACTCCTTATTGAAGATTTCCTGTTTTCTTCACTGTATTTATTATATTTAAATGGAAATAGGTGTGCGCGGCTATTTGGGGTGGCTGTCCGGGCCAGGCACTTGGCACAGTTTCAGTCCCAAGGGCAGGTGTGTTTGTATATTTGGTCATTCAGGTTAAAGGGAGGAAGATGGGCCATGATCTGCTGGTGAAATCTCTCTGGATGATGGTACAAAGGAAAATGGTGCATTGGCAAGGTTGCTGTGATGTCCAGACTTAGGGCCACCAGGAGTGAGGCTTTGAAGGTTTGGGGGGAGGGGAGGTGTCTCTAGACAGCTAGAGATATTAAAAGCCAGATGGCTCAGGCTCTATGGGACCATGGTTTGGCCCTTGGAGATGACCCAGGGACTTTGGCCAGTTTGATCTCAAATGTGATGCTGTGCTCTCATGCTCATCCTTTAGGTTTTAATGATGCTTTGTAGAGGGGTACCAAATCTTCCCAGTCCCCACTCAATTCTTGCCACTTCCCTCCGTCCTTTAGAAGATATCCAAGCAGCAAAAGCTATCATCCTCATTGTCCAACTTTTTCGGCTTTACTTGCTCATATCATTGGCTGTTTGTGAGGGTAGCTGCTTATTTTCAAGGTCTCTGAAGTCAGAGATATCTTCTCTCTCCAGCTTCATCCTTGACTCAGGAAACTGGCACAAGAGAGGATCAGTGACTTCTCTAGGTCTCAGCAGGAAGAAGGGACAGTGGGAAACCTGAACTCAGGCTCACAAGCTGCCTCTGTATCTTCTTTCCCTGATGCCCGCTCAGTAATGACAAAGAGAAGTGTGGTGTTTGTTGTAGCTTCCAGAAATTAGCATGCATTTATGCAGCAGGGTCTTTCCATCTCTGCTTGCCTAGGAGCCCTAGGGGATGCTTAGTTTTCTTTTCTTGTATTTTGAAAACGGTGTCAGTCTATGGATTTCAATTAGGGGGAAGATATCTTGAGCTGAAAGGTTAGCTGAATTGTGCCTGACCCCTCCCCAGTCCCACCCCTGCCATGTATTTCCCACTTTGATTCTCCTTCCCAAATAGGGAATTCAATCAATCAACAAACATTTTTATAAAGCACTTACTATGTGCAGGGCACCTAGGTGATGGAGAAACAACTACAAAGAATGAAACAATCCTTGACCTCAACAAACTTGCATTCCACTGAGGGAGGATAGACTAGATCAATCCATTAGCAAGTGTTTAAAAAGCATCTACTATGTGCCAAACACTGTGAGAAATGCTAGAGATACAGAGATAAAAATAACAGCCCTTGCCCTCAAGAAGCTTACAGTCTATCAGGGGAGACAATATATAAATAGAGAAGTAGGTGCAAGATATATCCAAAGCAGACAGCAAGCAACATGGATGGGACGGCATTGACCAGAAGGAGCTTCCCCAACCAGATTTTTGAAAAGCACATTCAGAGGTCTAAAGCTGCAGTCCTCATTTCTCTGAAAGCCTAAGAGGAGGTGGGGCAGGGAGTTACAAAGAGAGGACAATAAAGGACAGAACTGAAGCCAGCTATATGCCTTTCCCTTAAGGGCATTATAGTGTATGAGGCAGGGGATGAAACCTTGATCAACCACCAGAGACTCTAGTGAGACTGAGAATGTAAAGTGGTGAAAGCAACCAGCTGAGTGTCTCCCAGGTAAGACATGGAAATCTCCTGGTAGATATTGATCTACTATAGTTTAAGGACCCCATCAGTCAAAGTGACAATGAATCCACCTACCATCTCTCTGAATTTTCTCCTTTTTTCTTCTCAATGCTTCTTATGTTGATCACTGACATAGTGTCATCTACCTGCATTGTCCTCCTCTCCCCTTTTGTATCTCAGGGTAATGGGAAGAATGCAGAAAGAAACATGGCTTAGTGTGCAGGGGAGACCTGGAGTGAAGAGAAGAAAGGCATCTCTCTAGGACTTCAATCAAGCTGGCAGTATTCACTGCTCTGAGCAACAGTTGAGAGAAGGGAAGAAACTTCAGAACACAGAGATTAGGTAGTCATCTTCTGGCAATCAGGGCAGCCACAAATCCCCTTTGGCCACATAGTACCAGGGCCTTTTCACTGTTCCCCCAATCCAAACACAGCAGATGGCTATATGTGATAGAAACCAGGCCAATGTGGAACTTCTTCCCCTCTGGGGATGTCATTCAAATTCACTGGAGGTGCAGTGGAGGATGGGGGTGGGATGGAGGGAAGGAGAAGCCCTATGCTAAAGCCATTGTTTTCCTCCTCTCCCTAACCTAGTGCATACCCAGATCAGTGGGACCTATGCTTACAACTCCCACATGATGTTGTCTGGCACATGGCCCCAGGTCAGGGCATAAGATGTGGTTGATCTGGGAGCTTTAGTCATCCCCTGCCTCAGAATCCAAGAATTCTAGAGTAGAAAAGGATCTCAGTGATTATTTAGCCCAATCTATATATGTCCAAGAATGCCATCTATAATACCTCCAGTCATTCCTTGAAAACTCCCAATGAGAAGGAACCCATTGCCTCTCAAAGTAGTTGGTCTCCATTTTTGGATAACTCATTATTAGGAAATATTCTCTCGCCTCCAGCTTAAATTTACCTCTTTCCAACTTTCTCCACCATTGTTCCTAGTTCTGCTCTCTGAGACAAAGCAGAAACAATTCTCCCCTGCAGCAGCATCAAGATTGTTTACTACCAGCTGACTCACAGTGTTAAAAGCACCTCTTTTCATATGTAGTTCCCCTTGGGAATCTCAGTTGACAGATTAAAATATCTTGGAATGAATGGAACAATAGCTTTGTCATTTCCTCTCTGGAAATGTAGACTTATTTCTGAATGGTCTGAGGCTCTAGACTGCCCCTTCATGGTAGAAAGCCATTACATACCCATGCCAACTTCCCCTATAGCTATCAGAGAGAAACCCAAGATTTACTACCAAGGTCAGATGTGAGATCCATGTTTTTGATGGCATTCCCCATCCCCTTAAATATAGTCAAAATGCTTCCTGGAGATGAATGGCTGGTAGGATGTTTGGGGAAGTAAAGGCCAGCTGTAAAGGAAATTCAAGGGTTTTTTAAAGGCAAAATTCAGTCTTTTATTTATATTTGATACTTCATTTAACCCTATGCCAACTAGAATGATGGCACTCTATTCATATTCCATGATTCTGAAACAGTGTATTTATGTGGAAAAACTAAACATTTTCCTCCTATAAAGTCTTAACTCTAACCCTGCTCCCCTAAAGGGATCCAGGTTGGGATGGACCTGGGCATTCCAAGCAATGTTCTGATGGATGGAAAAGTTGATGGTATTTTTTTGGGATGCCAATGTCTTTCTTTTCCAGTCTTCCTAATGCAGCATCTGTAACCATGATGTTTTTTAAATCTGTTCTAGTGTAGAAAGAGGTAGTGTGGATCCCTGCAATGTAAAATACTTTGAAGGAGATGGCTTTTTTCTTTTTCACGTATCTGTATATTTGTAATTTGTAAAGGCAAAAAAAAGTGCCAAAAATGCACCAGGCATGTCATTTCAGTTCCTATATGTCTCTTTTGAGAAGGATAACACTAAAATCATTGGGATTAAATATCTTTGGACATGATACCTGCTTGGAGGAATTTGAGAACTGAGAGGACCTTTCTACCAACCACACCATGTGTTTAAACAGTTGAAACTAAGTTGATGAAGATCGGAGCTTTAGAAAAATGTTGACTCAAGCTTATCTGTCACCAGACTTCCATCATTTAGAAATTTGTCTGCTTGGCACTCCCCACTTTGAGTTCATGGTAATCTTGAATCAACATATTAGCATGCTTTTTTCTCCCAGCTACTTATGATTTTACTGGCATTAGGAGCTCCCAATAAGGAAATCTCCTCCCCCAATATGGATCACCTACCACTTTGCATCTTATAGCCTTAGAGTATTGCTTGGGACAGAGTAAAGTTAAGAGGCTCACCCAGGATCACACAGCCATTAGAGGTCACCAGCAGAATCTGAACTTTCATCTTCCCAACTCCAAGGTGATCTGTTCATCCACTGTGCTGTGTTGCCATTCAACATGGATATTCTGATAGAAGTTAGATGGATAATGGTGTGATACTTTGGAAGGAGCCCTGGATTTGGGGTTAGAGGACTTGGGTCTGAATACAGTAAGACACTAGACAAGTCACTTCCTATCTCTGGGGCTCAGTTTTCTCATCTGCAAAATGATGAATGGTTGGACTCAGTGATCTTCAAGGTCCATTATATCTTTAAACCTATGACATTTGTTTACATATGTATCTACCTATTCCTGGACAGTTCCTTAAGGCTATAAGTTGCTGAGCAGATGCCTCTCCGCATTGGCTAAGAGTTCCTCACTGGGAATTCCTTACACTGATGAAATCAAATAAATGTACTTATGTGTATATGTCTACACTTGCTGCAAATATTAGCTCTTTTTTATCAGCCTGAAGGCAAAGAAATCCCAGGTGATTCTAAGTAGCAGATCAACAGCTTTGGACACCCCCTAACAACCTGAAAGACCCATTTAGCAGAATGATCAGGATGCCCTGTGGAATGCTATGGCTGAAGTTTGCAGAGAGCTGACTCGGTCCTTCCTGGGTACCACTCCATAGGACACAAAGAACAGATCGGCTGGAGATGAGTGGCTCCCAGTATCTCATGGTGGACATTATCTTCTCAGGAATGACTGAGTCAGGTTTTGCCCGATGGATTTTCATCTTCCTTATCTTCTCCAAATGAATGTGCTCTAGATTTTTAAATCCAGATTTGGGCCTCTAGAATTGGTACCTTAGAACTTTAAAATGATGAGACTGGGCCATTGTTTCCACATCTGTTAAGTGAGGGTGCAAGACTCAGATCCTATGAGTGTCAGTCCTCCATCAGTCATTTCCCACACAATCTTTTCAGAAGAGTCCTGAATAAAATGATAATATTCTAGCTTCCTTTTGATTTTGGTTTGGTTTTGTTTTTGAGGCAGTGGTGGGAAAAGCATTGGATTTGGAATCAGAGGCTACCTGTGGGGCCTTGGGCAAGTCATTTAATGACTTCAAATCCCCATCTGCAAAATGAAGGTGTTGGACCAGCTGATTTCTGAGGTCCCTTCTAGCCATAAGCCCATGATCCTCAAATGATGGCCACTTTCCTATTTGTAAATGTCAACTCCTATAATATAAATGAAGCACAGTAAGTTATACCTTTATCATGTGACAGGATGAACCATGGCCAACTGGTAAATCCCAAGGCTCTCTGGTCTGTGATTCAATGGATCTGATGTTTATGCCAATTGGCCCTTCAAGGACATGAGGTGTCCCAGAACTGGGCTACAAGACTTAATGGGATTCTCGGGCCATCTGAGAATGCAAATTTGGACAAGATGGATCTGGGAGAATTGCTATAATCCAGAGTCCCCTCCTCATCAGACCCCAGAAAATGCAGAGGAGCAGCTGAATAGGCAGGTTTGTTCTGAGGCCCAGGCTTGTGAGATGGGGTAGGGGACAGATTTCCTGTTCCCCTGGAATACTACATTGAGTGTTGGCACTTTTTTGACCTGCCTGAGTTATTTCCAGAAGTCAAGCAATCAGATATTCTTATTTACCTACTATGTGCCCTACACTATGCTGACAACGTGCAATTTTATCACCTGGACAATACCCAGAGATGACACAGAACATAACAAGTATCATAGAGTCACAGAATGTCAGAGTTGGCAGGAACTTCAGAAGCCATCTCATCCAATCTTCACCTGAATAAGAGTCTCTTCTACAATGTTGTTGTTGATCCTTCATTCTCTAAGAGGACTGATCACATCATAAGGGTGATTTCTTGACCTGAGAGTCCTTGAAGTCAGTGGCAAAACAAAAATCAAGATGACTGGTCATGGCCTGGGATGCAGTGGATGACTTTGGCCTTTCCAAGTTAAGGTCTTTCCCAGGCCTCAGTTTGTCTGAGGCGATGTCCATTCAATGACTAAGGGCTAGATAAGAATTGAGACAAGAGATGGCCTAATTTGCCGTCACAAAAATATCAGTCTATCAAATCAGAGGGCCCCCAACCTCTCTTTGAAGAATTCCAATGAGAAGGAAATCACTATCTTTTGGGCTGACTGGTAATACAAAATGAGGCTACTTGAACCAAAACTTCCCTGATCAGTGAGATTAGTAACATCACCAATTGAGTCAATTGCACCACCACCACTAAGATCAACCAAGCAGTTTCAAAGGTAAATAACAATACTCAAATGGCACTATGATCTCTTTGATTCAAGAGCCCTTATATTATCCTAATAGCATAAGAGCTTTTAACTTCACTTGTCCAGGTCCAACACACGTTGCTTGAGCAATGCTCAGGCTGCAGTTGGTAATTTCCCCATGCCAAACAACAATCAATAACATCTTTTCAAGCAAGCTATTCACTCCTTGAGACAATGAGGTCGTGGCTTCCAATCTTGTTGACTGACTGAATTCTGCATGGTCACATTGTCACAGCTTAAAACCCTAACGTCTGATGAGGAAGAGGTCGCAGAATCACAGAATGTCAAGGTTGGAATCAACCTCAGAAGGCAACTAGTTCAACCTATACCTTCAAAATATCCCCCCCCCCAAAAAAAACACACACATAACATACATGACAGTCATCCAGCCTCTGCTTGAAGACCTCCAATGAAGGGGGACCTACTACCTCGTAAGGCAGCTCATTCCACTTTAGGAGAGCTGTGCTTGATGGGAAGTGTTTCCTTAGTCAAATGCTCCAAGGAATCTGGGATTTTATGAATGTGGATATACCCTCCAGTGATCCAGATCACAGTCATCCATGCCTTCTCATCCTAGGTGACACTTGTCCATGTCCTCCCATGGATTTGCCACAGGGGCTCCACCCAACACTCCAGGAAACCTACCTCCCTTTCTCTTGACAACATGAAAATTTTCCTTCTACTGAGCCTAAATGTGCCTCTTTGCAACATCCATCCAGGAAGATCATCTGGAGAAGAAATATTCAGGATGCAAAATGAAGCCAATAGAAATAGGAGTGAAGAACTGAACTTGGACCCTTCAGTGTTCCCCCCACCACAACTTAGATGAAGGATGTGTCATGAAAAGCTGGGGGAAAAAGTCGCCGATTTTATGGACTCCATCCTATTCCAAGTTTCAGAAAATGACATGCTAAAGAATGAATTCACCAT